AGAAGCCCTATATTCCTTGTTCCACGAGGAAGAAGGGGACTTTCAAAAGTAAGGTTTTTTACTGAAATTTGACCCAGTCTAGATGGGCCAAATTTTGGAAAAGCCTCTTCCGACAAAAGTATTGGAAAAAAATGCAAAATGCATTACAGCAGCTGCTGCTACCTGCTATAAATGGAGAAACTGGCTCCAGCCTATATTCTGAGGCTGGGCAAAAGATAACTACAGCCACTCGGCACTCCGGAAAGCTGGGTGCAGCGCCATGTGTGTGTTTCTGAATGCTGAGAGCCTGGAGTGAGCAGAAACAGGCTTCTTATGCTGCCCCCACCCCCAGTAGCTCCCACTGTCCGGTTTCAGCCAATAGCAGCTGGCTGTTTGCAGGACAGGCAGCATGCAAAGTGCCCCTCCTCCTTCATCCCCTGGGTTCACAGCATACAGTTTAGAACAATAAACATGGCTCCTGCAACTCCCCTGAGCACATACAGGGGCTGATAGGCAGGGACCCTGCTGAGCTGCTGGGTTGGAGCCAGATGAAGTCTCCCAGCCAGAGCCTCTCTCTGGCACCTCAGCCCCTTCCTCCCTCTCCCAACCCTCTGCCCCCCTACCCCATGTATCCCAAATCTTCTGCACCCCTGTTCCAGTCCCCCTACTACGCCTTCTCAAGCACTGCATCCCTTCCTGCGCCCCTCCTCAGGTCACAACCCCCTCTCAGATCTTGCACACCAATCTGCTATCCCTGGTCACAGCCCAAATCCCTGCACTCCCTCCTGCATTCCTGCCTCAGGTTACAATCCCCTCCCAGACCCAAACTGCTATCCCTGGTCATAACCCATATCCCTGCACCCTTCCTGCACTCCCTCCCAGACCTTGCACCCCCTCCTGTACCTCAGTTCACTGCCCCAGGTCATAAACTCCTCCTTCACCCAAACTCCCTCCCAGATCCTACACCCCAATCCCTTACCCCAAGCTCTCTTCTGCACCCAACCTCCATCTCAGACCCCCTTACCTCCTTTGTTAATATAATGGTAAAAAGCAGCCCTCCACCACTTGCCAAATTCTTGGGGTGGCCCCCCAACAAAAATTATTGCCCATCCCCGACATACATAGGACCACTCATGATACTGAAGTTTATTCATTATATAAGGTTCTCATGTTCCCTTTTTTGTTTGGGAGGTTTTGTTTTTTTGTTTTGTGGGTTTTTTTTTTTTTGCTTTGTCTTCTTCCTACATTTTATTTTCTCATTGCACAGTTACTCATAATTCTTGAGTGGGCTGCCACTGATTGATTTCACAGAGCTAAATATTATTATTCCTTTGGATCTAAACTTCCAAAGGATGTGGGCAGATATTTGAGGCATTCAGGCAGCACCGGGGATGGGGGTAAACATAATTTTCTGAGTGCTGCAGATATCTAAAACTCTGATCTTAATGATTCTTTAAAATCCCGTGTTACTAATTAATACATGGTAAACTGTATTGCATTAAGGCCAAATCTTTGCTATGCAGTAGAGTTCTAGATCTTATGAATCAGAAGTAGCAAGTACTAAGTACTCAAAGGCCTCAGAGTAGTAGCCATATTAGTCTGCAAAAAAAAGTCTAAAAAAATGTAAAAAACCACAATGGTCCTGTAGCACCTTAGGCTAACAAAAATATATAAATAGTATCATGAAATAAGTACAACCCACTTCTTCAGCCATGGGTAGTGTTAATTTTATTTTTATTTGATTTCATATTAAATCATCATAAGCATTGCTCCTTGTTAATTATCCCTTGTTTTAATATACTTTCTTCCACACCTATGACCTATTTAAAATATATATTTATATCTATGTTTTTTGTTTGTACTGGTACATGCACACCCGCACACTACTTCAATATTGGTGTTGCACATAAGAAATTTCAGCCTGCCGAAAAGAAAATTCAACCTGCCCAAGGATGGAAAATCTTAGAGGGAACACTGGTCCCAGCTTGCGTCAAGTCCAGCAGCCCCTCCTTGCAGCAACCAAGGCTGGCCCAGGCAGGGGCTGCTTGGGTAGTCGACTACTCACTTATGCTTATTGGGTAGTCGACTACTCACTAACATCCCTAGACCTTGTGGGCTAGTAGCTTTCCACAAACAAGAGATATGAACTTTGTTTGGAACAGTAAATGTCTATGCATGTGGCAAAGGATATAAGGCACCTAAGACATCCCCATTTTGTCTTCATTTCCTGCTTCATTTCTCTAGCTGAATTTCTAACAAGGAAGCTTTGAACAAGAACTGATGACCCCCAATCTGTTGGCGTAATTCCACAGAGATTTTTACAAGCTAACAGTTTATTTACTTATTGCTAAGATCATGATCCAAGAACACTGAAAAATCACTTGTATATGATCCTTTAACCATTTAATAGCTCTCTTCTTTTCTAGTATTATTATTATTATTATACCTTTAGATTTAGTTACTAAAGGATTGGCATCCACATAATTATTGGGTAAGATCTGAATTACACATTGACCTAGCTAAATGGCTTTTTCCTGTAGGATTGGAAGGACCCTGCATCTGATTAAACTGGGTTTCAGTAATCATTCATCAAGTCCAGAGGCTCAGTGGTGAGCCAAAGGCTGAAATGCCTAAGGCTACTGCATTTTTTTACTTCTTGTTAACCAATGAGGTTAACCAGAAGTTAACTGTCATTACTGGTTTGGTATACTCTAATGACAGAATAACCACCAGTTTGCGTTTAAGTCTGCACTATTTCTCATCAGTCTTTCCTGAATTTGGCACTCTCAGCTTTGACCTAATCAAACATGGTAACAGTCTCTTTAGATCAGATTCTCATCGTAAGGAATTTAGTAGCAAAATGCCTATTTAATATAAATATAAGTTTATTTAAAAATAAACCTATTAAAAACTAAATTTCAAGTGATGACAACAACTTATGTTAAGGTCTAAACTCATATCAAAATTGTTTAAATATTTTTTTTTAAATTAAGCAGCATTAAAATTAAACTTGCTGCAAAGTTTTAAAGAAAGTCAAACCACTGAACTGGAGGAAGGCATGGTCTAAGTATCTGAGGCCAGATTTTGCTGAAGTGTTAAACCAGCCTTTGACAGCGATATACTCCTCACAGGCGCAGAGTAAATATTTTCAGCATTTCAATTTATTCAACCAATTCAGTTTATTCAAAGTTATGAAACTTTCTAAGAGTTGAAAAAGCAGGGAAGCTTTTTTTTTCCTCTTTCCATCTATGAAGATACACTAAGTGTGAGAGGATGAGATCCATCAGTTCCAAAATACTGAAGGATATGGTAACTAGAAACAATCAGTTCAACAAACTAACTACAGGTACTATGTCCTTTGTTTAACAAGTCAGTTTCGATGCAAAACTTGTTATGTATCCAGCCCATTTACGATGTTTTTATTAAATAAAAAAATTAAAATGGTGTTCTTGTGTATTCTTAATTCATTTGAATTGCCATTCAAATGCCACTTGACACATATATAAGCACAACATTAATCAGCTAGAAAATATAACATTCACCATTTTCTAACAATAAACAGGTAGATTTGAAACAGGTAAAATCTTATTTTCTGATTCCATTCAGATACAACCGCTTACTCACCTCAGAGGTGTAGTGGAATTTGCCACTTGCCCGAAAAAGATAAGGAACTAGCCTAACAGCAGTTAGGGGCCCACTAGCCTGTCGAGCAAGAATGAAGCTGTATTTCACATTTTCTAACTTGTGAGAGGCACAAGCAGGCAGAAATCAGCAACATAGCTATGAGAAAGTAAAACCGCACATAGGCATAAGATAAGAGTACCCCTCCCCAACTACTGGAATGCCAATCGTGAACGTTAGAAATAATGTATTGCTGTGCTTTAACCAATGAAATGTAAAAGCCAATCAATCTGTTATTCATGTATCCGATAAAAGGCTATGCACAGAGCGGCACGGGGTCGCTCCTCGCTATTTTTTGCTGTAAAGCTCGAGGGGACGACCATCAGCGCTGATTAATAAAAGTCTGGTAAATCCTCCTTCGGGCATCCGTGTCATTCTGTTACACCGGTTTGAGTCCGGTACGGTTACAGAGGACTATTCCCATGAGATTTTGACCAATAAACTAGAAGTTCTCACGAGATTTTTTCTACAAGTTCCACCAAGCAAGCTGCGTTCACAAATTTTCTGCCTTAAGATTCCTAATGAGATTTTCAAGCTATTGAATTCAAAACAATGCCTCAATTCAAGCTGTAAACTGAACTCTCACTATTCTGTATGTTCTTCCCTCAGCCTCTAGCTACTATCATGTACAAAGTTTCATGAACAGCCTTGTACTCAGTCCACAAACCATAAGTCAACTAGGGATGCTATTTTGCCACATATACAACAAGTTTACCTCGATGAGGAATTTGCCGTAATGGTTTCCAAATGTGTGAAATTAATTTCAGCTTTTATTTTCTACTCTTTAAGCAACCCATTCTGTTTGCTAAACAGGATTCTTATAAGCCAAGCAAACAACAGTCTAAGAAAAGGAGTAAGTAAAACAGATACAGGAGAACCTTGAGTTATGAACACCAGAGTTACCACTTGACCTGTCAACCATACACCTAATTTGGAACTGGAAGTCCGCAATCAGGCTTCATCACAGACCAAAAAAAGAAAGAAAGGAAATAAGGTACAATACTGTGATACCATGTTAAATGTAAACTACTAAAATTTTTAAATTCTTGTTTCATTTAAATTAAGATGGTTAAAAGCAGTATTTTTCTTCTGCATAGTAAAGTTTCAAAGCTGTATTAAGTCAATATTCAGTTATAATCTTTTGAAAGAACTATCATAATGTTTTGTTTTGTAACATTTCAGAGTTACAAACAACCTCTGTTCCCAAGGCATTTGTAACTCTGTGGTTCTACTGTATCTACATAGGAACTAACAGATGCCATTCAAAAAACACTTTATTATTGTATGGCTAACTGCATTCACCACATTACTTGCGTCTTTAAATGAAGGCATCAACTTACCTAAGTTGTTTTGCATAGCTGATTTCAATCTCTGTTCTTTCTTTTACAAACTTGATGTATTTTTCCAGAACATCAATTCCCCATTGCGTGTGTTTTTCTAAGTTGTCAAACTGATCCTGCAGTGAACCAAATAGATAGTTTAGACTCATTGAGTTTGGAGGTAAATTAAAAAAGCAACAACCCCCAAAAAGATACCTCACTGCACAGAAAGTATTGCTAATACTTTCCATGAGTACAGTCAGGCATTTTTTGTTTTGTAGCACAAGGTTTTTAATCACCCTAGCCAAGTTCTGTTTGAGAGAGGCCAAGACAATAACTCTCAAGTGCTGTTTTATGTAACATCTTCATTTCCGAAAGTCAGGCTTGTCATGTGACAGTTTCTGAGCATCAAGAAATGCTTGAACAGAGGTTTACAGAGTTGTGCCTTTAGGACTGCATTAATCTTATCACTACAGATAACCAAATTTGTGGGTCTTTTAGCAGAGACCCACTCTTAACACATCAATTGTTTCTCTCAGGTGAATAACACACCATAGATATCTAAACTATGAAGAGCCATTCCTCCAGATTTTTCTTTCAATAGTTGGCATTTATCAAACACCTTTCTACAGAATAGCTGTCTTCCCATAAACCCTTATGTTTACTTACAAAACAAAAAATACACAAACAGATGCCAAAAATGATTTTAGCTCCATTTATTGTAACCAATCTTGCAAATGCACATTTACATACAGATGCTACTTTTGTCTGTAAACATTACTGCCCCCAAAATCACACATTTTCAATAAGTCTTGTGCATCAAAAAACATTCCATATGTCAATCTGGAGTTTCCCAGATGCCAAGTGATTAGACAACAGTATATTCAGATTAATTACCAAATCATTATAATACAGAATTCTGTCTAGTCTCTAAATAGAAATTGCAAAAACATCTTAGTCACTATTTAGTTTCATTGCACAGTGTAATATCCGAGAGCTTGAATTTGAAAAACTAACACAATATACAAGCTTATGCTTTTCAGATCTGGTCTTCTGAAATTATGATTCACAACACAAAATCTAACACAAGCCTCATTTTCTCCAGTACTGTATAACAAAATGCAAGTGATGGTAGGATGAGCATCTCAATTATGTTCCTTGCTGAGAGGTATAGAGCAATAGTGCCAGTTTGCCAAAAATCCAAAACTTGGGAAAGAACACATTACATGGAAAAAAATAAAATGAAATCCGTAGTACCTTCTTGGCAAAATCCATGCTAATTTGCAACAGGTAATATTTTAGCAAATCATGTGCATATAACAAATTGAAAAATGCATCTTACATATTCTTGTATATTTACCTTGACAGAAATGCAATAAGAATCCATTATTCATCTATCTTGTGTAGCTTACGGTATCTGCAAATCCCTACATTTCATGTCTTATGAAAGCTATATACCTAAATACATTTGAGGTCAGATCCTCAGCTAACAAACTGATATTGCTTCACTGAAGTCAAAGAATCTATGCTAATTTACACCAGCACTTTGCGACTTTTGGTTTGTAAAATCATCAGCTAACATCAGCAAAACAGACTAAAAAATAAACCCACTTCCGTTGATTAGCAGAAAAAAATAACAAACAGCACTCCCACAAAGTCTACTGCAGCACACTAATATGTTGCTTCTAAACAGACTACATTTGGTGCAGTGTAACATATGGCAACCAAAATACAAAATCTCTTGGCATAAGTACAGATCTTTCTGTGTATAGTAAGTTGGTCTTGCATAACAGAAGCTGTTAGACTGCTTACTAATCTTATTTCTCAGTTCTTGTCTGACAGATTTGAATCAGGTAAAAACGGCAATATACAGAATTTTATCAAGTAGCTAGCTAATATAATCTACAGGAACTCTCTCGTCAGACATAGTGTTTGTCTTTTGCACAGGTGCACTGGCTTAACTTACAGTGCAATTTTAAACTGATTCAGTTAAATTGGAGCAATAGGTTTCACAGAGGCTGATTTTTGTTTATGTTGATTAGGAACAGATTCTCACTAAACTAAAATAAGGCACACTCAAACCAAAATACCAGCATTTACGCTGCAGTGGGACAGGCAAAAGTTACCTAACCTGGTGCAAGTTTGTCTACAGAGAACTTCTTATTTCAGGGGACTTCAAAGCTAGAGACAATACAAAGAGATAGGATGGATAGAACAACTGACCTCTCCTCTCCCCAGAGGCCATTCAGGTCAGAAAGAGTAGGAGTATAATTTCAAGACAAATCTTTTGCTCACACCAACAACCATATCACCTCCATTGAAGTCAATGGGATTGCACATGTGTACCAGAGAACAGAACTTGGCCTATTGTCTGTCTTTTAAGGATTTTGCCAAAGAGCATTGAGAGCTACCACATACCATACTAGTCTACAAGACAGACCATTACTAAATAAATCTCAAGAGTAAGTCACAGTGACAGTCACTCGTATATTTACATTCAGTCCCCTCAAGCATTTTGGAGGAAAATTTCAAGGAGGGAGAGCCTCTTTCCAATCCCTTTTTATGCAGCACTCTGGTTGGATACACTACATTATCATCAAGGCTTAGCATCCACCTGGACCTCTTGTACATTTTTCAAAGTGAAGGAATCACATTCTTCCCTCCAGGACACATTTCAAAGAGATATTACAAAAACACAAAATGTGCTGAACACTCACAAAGAATACAGCAAGTTCACCTTCGCAAGGTGAGCTCCTTGCTCTCCTTCAGTCTAACCAATTTGTTTAATACCCTATTTTTAGAACGCCATTGAGATCAGAATATGAAAAACTGGATAACTCCTTGTGGCTGAATGAGTCTGGTCTGCTGTCACGTAAGGTAGCTGGCTCTGCTGTTTGACTTTGAGTTGCC